GGACCTTCGTCGGGGCTTGGATATGGAACCGGGGCGTCGGGGTAGTCTCGGGATGATAGAAGTTTTAAAATAGGGAGAGAGATTTGTGAATGAGCAAGTAAAAGTCGGAGGTCTCGCATGCTATTTATAGGAGGGCTGCCAGGCTTCGTACGTTGGGCGTACTCCGAAGTACGCGGGGCGTACCTCGTCTGCAGCTCGTACGCTGGGCGTACCCTCGTACGCGGGGCGTACGTCAGCGATGATGTCATCGGTTGCCGGTCTTAGAATGGGACAGGGGTAGAGGGTATAGGGGCGACGTGGTCGATCCAAGGCCCTTCGTTTGCGTACGCTGGCCGTACCCTCGTACGCGGGGCGTACTCCTTCGGATAAGCCTCGAAGTGTGTGCCCAAATCTTTGAAAATCTATAAATTTCACACACGAGCTCCGTTTTTGACGTTCTTTATATCCACGCGTAGGTGAAATTATACTCTACAACTTTCATTTAGACTTCGTCGGCTAATTTTGACTTAAATTTTTAATATTATATTTTTAATAGGCCGGGACAGGATAAATCCGTTAAAAATTCATAACTTCTTCATCCGATGGCCGTTTTCGCCTGTCTTTTTACCGTTGTACTACTGTTGTCGAGATCTTCAATTCTCGTTTAGGTTGCGTCGGCTAAAAATCGTTCGATCTCTATTCCAAGTTTTTAGCTGTCTACTGCTATATCCGAAATTTAGAAAAATCATAACTTCTTCATACGAAGTCAGATTTGGACGTTCTTTTTATGTACGCTCACGGTTTAACATAATCTACGACTTTCGTTTAGATACCTAAGGCTAAAAAGTATTTTATTGAACTTTCACTTTTTACGCTTAATAGTGTTTTACCGGTTGTGTCGCGGATTTTCGATTGGTCATAACTTCTTCGTTATAACTCGGATTTGAGTGTTCTTTATATTTCTGAAAACCTTGACACAATATCTAACATTTTATGTATCCCAATTGAGACTTTAGAACACTTCATTTTTTATGCTATTTTTATTGATTCCAAAAATAGATTATAATATTTGACTTTTTGAATAATGCATTGACTTGGAATATCGGGTTGTTACATAATCTAATTGTAATTTTATAAAGGTAGGTAAATGATGATTTACCAATTCCACCAATAGAAAACAAAAATTTGAAAGAAATTATGTTAAGCGAAATTCGTAGATCTTTTGAGATTCACTGAAAATATTCAATGGCATGTTTAATATCAGATTATGTTCTTCTATTTGTGACTGTGATATCGAGGATCACAAACGAGATGTGAATAGCCATGCAAATGAGGTTGGCACTTTCGATGTCTTTTATAATCTCATTTTAATGTGTTGGTTAACCACATGCGCTCCAATAATCAATGATAATTTTCGAGATGCCCATTATTACTCTTTATAGTCACTATTAGTGTGCCGGTTAACCACACGCACTCCACTGACTATTATAAAGTATAATGTGCAATTTCTTGAGTTTGCATTCAAATTCACATTTTTCTAAAGTAATTAAGATTGAGAATTTTTTTTAAGGTTTAGTTACTTTTAATAGCATTATACTTATTAATAAAAATTAATTGACCTATCAAACCCATCCGGCTAACGACCCTCTACTAATCAAGGAAGCGGTGGGTGAGAGTGGACACCCATTCAACTACCATTTTATAGGCAGTTTCCTTATACCCCCTTATAGACTAGCTTTGTAAATGAGACGTACTAGCGGTTCGACTGACTTTGTCGGATACATAGAGAGAATAAGGAAACTTTAATGTTACATATAGTAAAAGGTGTTTTAAACTTTTCAAAATACTAGGTTTATAATTAAATTTCAAAAACTAAATAATTAATTTAAATTAAAAAAATAAACCAAATGATTAAATAATTATCTATTAATTAACATTTAATTAATTATTTAAATCAAATAAGGATTATCCAATTAAAGTAATCAATTAATTTAATCCTAATCCTTACCCTCTAATTTTCGAAAAAATTGGTATATGATTTATCCAATTTCTTAATTATCCCTTTTAATCAAATAAACTAACAATTATCAAAAAAAAAAATTAGGAAACCCTGACCACATATGCAATTTTCGAAACTTGGGGACGAGGGTTAGGGTTTCAAAACCCTAACCCTAATTTCGAAACATAGGGGGCAAGAAACCCTAATCCAATTTCAAAATTTGAGGCCTTTTAGGGTTTAATTTTCATAAACCCTAATTTGATCAAATTCAACAATTATAGCAAATTCAATTGAAAACAACCCAAATGCTCTGATACCAATGATGGGTATTAAGCATAACAAAACAAAACTCAAAACTCTGAAGTGTGCATGCAACCTAAAACAAGATCTATGTTTTCACTATTGAACCTATAACTAAGAACATCAAAATAATAACCCTAGCAACCCTAGGTAATTTTCGAAATTACTAAAGAAAAGGGTTTGTGGTTACATAGCTTTTAGTTGTTATAGTAAACAACTAAAATTCCTCTTGTTGGTCTTTTGGAAGCAAGCGCCACAAGCGTCGTGTCTCTAATGGTTCACACCCAACACAAGCAAGAAGGATATTATGGAGAGAGGAGGGGGGAGGAAATAATTTCGACCTCGTTGTCTAAAAGTATGAGTGTCCGAAATTTCTAGGGGTTAGGTTCCTTATATAGTACAACTTGAAACCTTAGATTAGCCCAATACCAATATAATAATATTATCTTGAATTAGTAATTATGTAGCTTCCTACTTATCCTACAAGGATAAGTCTGCAACCCTAAAGGCCTCCTAAAAACCGTACAAGCCTCTTGGAAGGATCTAGAGTGCCTCTTGTTCAACTATTGAGCAATTACACTTTAACCCATGTACTTTTAATTAATTATATTAATCCTAAAAGTAATTCCAATTAATTTCTGATTAATTATTAATTAAATATTACTATTTCTAATTAATATATTATTTTCATAATATATTAATAAATTATTTATTTCAATTTATTAATCAAATAATAAATCAACATCTCTCTCCAAAAATCATCTTGTCCAATTGCTAGGTTTGAGGGCAACCCAAAAGAATTGTGCCACTATCAATTCAAGTTTATACCAATTATAGTTATGGGCTTAGACACCTAATCCAACAATAGGATGTTTCCATATAATCGTAATCTGTAGATCTGCCTTCTAGTCGGTTAACTGGTTATATGATTATCTGTTGTTGGATATATGTTATTTATTATGTGCATGTCGACATGGTATGGTAGGGTTGAGACTGTACTGCCTTGTGTTGTAAGTCAACAAACCGGGACATTCCAACCGCAAGGTTGTGGGCCGGGGCATTCCAACTCGAAAGTTATGGGTCGGGAGTAATCCAACCAGGAGGATGTGGACCCGTTATGTTTTGGGCATTCCAACCGTAAGGTTGTGGGTCAGGGCATTCCAACCGTTAGGTTGTGGGCCAGGGGTAATCCAACCAGGAGGTTGTGGACTCGTTATCTATTTGATTATATGTTTGTATGGTGGTACTTTGGGGGAACTCACTAAGTTTTGGCTTATAGTTTTAGTTTATGGTTCCAGGTACTTCCGGTGATCGTGAGAAGGTGAAGGCGTGATCGTGCACAACTTCTTGTCACTGGATCTTGGGGAAAACGTTGATTTGAAATAATACATGTGAAACAATGACTATTTTGTAAACAATGATAATGAATAGTTGATTTTTTTGAAAATTTCAAATTATTGTGATTTTTTAGTGTGGCAGTATACCAACATTCGATGAACTCTAATTCGGTACTATAATGCACTTCTTCCATTTTGACGGTGCATCCAGCAATACAAAAGAGGCAAGCCAGGGGTAATCCAACCAGGAGGTTGTGGACTCGTTATCTATTTGATTATATGTTTGTATGGTGGTACTTTGGGAGAACTCACTAAGTTTTGGCTTATAGTTTAGTTTATGGTTCCAGGTACTTCCGAGGATCGTGAGAAGGTGAAGGCGTGATCGTGCACAGCTTCTTGTCACTGGATCTTGGGGAAAACGTTGATTTGAAATAATACATTTGAAACAATGACTATTTTGTAAACAATGATAATGAATAGTTGATTTTTTTGAAAATTTCAAATTATTGTGATTTTTTAGTGTGGCAGTATACCAACATTCGATGAACTCTAATTCGGTACTATAATGCACTTCTTCCATTTTGACGGTGCATCCAGCAGTACAAAAGAGGCAAGCCTCGAAAACAGCCATCATCTCCGAACATAGCTCTCTCCCTTATAAGACTACAATCCCCCCCCCCCCAACCCACCCCCACCCACCCCTAGATGATCTTCGTAACTCTAGAACTTTTATTCTCCCATATGATCCCCTCGAATACATAACTTCCCAAAGCTATGGCGGATGGTTTGCTGTGACTGATATCAGATTTGATGGAGTTCAACTTTAAAAATTCTCCCTGGTCCGTTGCTACATATTTTCGTAATATCAATGTTCATATATCACCTATAATGACAAATGTATATCTAATACGAACAAAAATCAAAAACATATATTTAGCTATATAAAAAATACATTACCCTTACCTTACCCTACCTCCACCTACTTTCCTTTGAAGATTCTTGAAACGTTGCTCGTCAAGTCTACATTTGTAATTTTGTATCCACATCTCCAATAAAGGGTCCCTTCAATATTTTGTCTGCCACTATATCCAAAATAATGCACCCTATTTCTTCGGGATCAAAATCAAACAACGATGTTTTTTAAAAGAAATAAGTTACTTAACTATAAAAATACATTATTTCAAATAAGAATTCACTTTAATTCAAACATATAAGTATTTGGCTGTTAACAAAAACCTATATATACCTATCGTATTTATAGTTAAAGAATCAAAGTAATTTATTTATATTCTAAAATAATCATCTTATAAACTTACTTTTTATTTCATATATTCAAACATGATACAAAATTTACATTCAAAATATATGTATATATATCAAGATTTTCAAGAAATAGAATGCCTTCTGTCTTTACTTAGCTTATTCGTGCTTTTAGTAACAGAAGGTGAAACACCATGATCAGCCCTCAAAAACGGAGTAAATTTCACAAGCCTTTTTGATATGGTGTTCATGAATGATCTTCGAATCAATGGTGATTTATCACAATGTGATATTTTCATCTCTTTTAATTTCATTTTCACTTTCAAAAGCTCGAATTTAAGATCTTGGTTTTCTTTTTCTAAACTTGAAAGATCATCTGGTAATGGGTTTAGAACTCCAGATCCAGCATCATCTACCTTATCTTTTAATTGTTGTTGTTCATGGTAAAGAACTTGAACTACCGTTTCAGCAGAAAGTCGGTCATTTCGGGCAGCATGGGCAAGCGTTTCTTGGGTTAGCTTTTGAAAGTTTATCAAATTGCAAAGCTTCTTTCTTTCAGTGTCACCTAAAAGCGGGTGAGCCTGCAAGATTCAAATCAAATATAAATTACTATTAGCCCACGACTTAAAGGGTTTGTTTGGTTGAATGAGATGAAATTATAAACAAATGGAATGATGAAGGTAATGAACCGAGTCATTACATTCCGTAATCATGTTTTGTTTGTCTAAAAAAATATACTGATTTTAATAACACAATTTTATACTACGTATTATATGTAAATAAAACGAATAGTTTTAAGTTTTGACAATTATATATATATATATATATATATATATATATATATAAAGAATTTATTATTTACAGAACAAAAAATAATTAAATATAATAAAATCTCATTAAAATGCATATAAAATTATAATAAAAAAAAGTTATAGTTATTTTCAGAAAATAAAATTATAATTTAATTAAAAATGATAAAATTCCTAAGGTAAATGACACAAATACCCTACAAAGTTTCTAAGGTAAATCGACCAACCCTAGAAACTTTGTAGGACATTTGTGTCATTTCCCCAAATCCTAAAATAGATTGTCGGTAAAAAGTTTATAAAAAAAAAGGGCTATATTATACTTTTTCGCCCCTCTCTGAACAATGAAAATTAACAAAGTGGAAGAAAAAAAAAATCTTGAGGACTGGTCCATTTCTATTCCATCATCCAGTATTTTTTTTTTTTTTCATTACAATGGAATGCACCATTCAATTCCTTCTCCCATTTTGTCATAAAGTGACTCATAATCCTCACTTTATATCCATGTAATTCTTGATCACAATCACTAATCTTTATTCCATATGGAAAATTTAGTGAAAAGAAAATGTACCTTCAAGTAGATGTCAATAGCTCTATAGATTCCATCCTCTATTCCCCATTCTTGCTTCGGTAAACATTCAACAAGATTTACAAATTTTGACACCGAAAAGTTACAATCCGAAGCAATTTCAGCAAAATAACTCTCCATGAGCTTCCTAATCTTCTGAATATCATCACAAGTACCCTCAACATCATTATAATTCATCAAGATTCGTTGAACAGTGTCAACATCAAACAACGTGTCACCATCAAACCGAAAAGAAGGAATCAATATGTCATCCAAATACAGCTTGTTCAAGTTGTAACCCTATTCTTTTCTCCAAATCAAGCCTACATGCCATTGTTGTTTCAAGGTGTATTGAAGATCGAAGTAGCATTGAAAGAAAATTGACTGAAACGGCATTTTTTTCTCTTGGTAAGAGACTAACTATTGTTTCCAAAACTACCCTTTTCTCGTTTTCTTGATTTGGGTCACTTTTGTTCTTGCCGATTGGTAATATCTCCTGCATGATTGATAGAAGATATGAAGAGATCATTTGGAATGAATTCAAATGTTGCATTGTTTTTTGGTGCTTAAACACTTCACTAACTTAATTTTATGGGTTAATTACAAAAATGACCAAAATAGGAAGTGAATAATAACCAAATGACCACATTTTTTCACATATTACACAAAATAACCACCCCATTTCGCAAAATGCATTTTGAAATTTACAAAATGGCTTTCTGAATGATCATATTTAGCAAAATGATGATATATGTCATTTTGCATTAAAATAAAAGATATAAAGAAATTTCGCAAATCGAATAATCTATTTTCCGAAATGGGTGGCTATTGTGTGTTATAACCAACAAGGTGATCATTTTTTTTGTTATTCTAACCGAAATTAGTTGTGCACTATGTATTTCACTTTGTGTTTCATAAAAATATGTGGGAAATAAGAATATATAACAAATCTTACCAAATCTTGGAGACACTTTTGGGCATAAAGTGTTAGAATCGGACCAAATGCACACTTATTGAAACCCCTTGAAATCATTGCAAGGAGAACCCTTTGAAAGGTATGAATTTTTAGAACAATCAAATCTTCAGCCCACCAATCAACAACTTTTAGATGACAAAATGAAGAAGATGAAGAATCCAATCCATCACTACTACATCCTCCACTTGCTGACATAGAGAACTCGCATTCTTTCATGACTATGAACGCGATACTGTCTACACAACGAGTGACAAGTTTAACATTTTCAGAAATTGGCAAGAGGGTTTCTGATGATTGTAAAATGGAAACAGCAGAAGTCAATGATTTAAGTCCCACTTCGTTTATATATGCCTCGGTTCTTGCTATTAAGTTTCCAATTGCATAGTTTTCTGTCATTTCAAGAAACTCAGCCACACATCTTGCCATTGCAATGTTTTCAATTGTTAATTCGAAGTTTATTCCATAACAAAACTTTGCTGCGAGTTCGAATCCTTGGGGCCCACCTGGGATATCATTGATTTCGATTATGTGATTGTGATCACTCTCTTTAAAGTTTGACATAAGTTTCCTCATGTAACCAGATTTTGACATTAATGGAAACTGCATTGTTCAATAGAAAAAAAAAAGATTAGAACTTTACTTTCAATCTTTAATCATCAAATAATTTCAAAATGACATGGACTTTACCTTGTGTAATGAAAAAGAAACGCCTCTTACGTTGATTGTAACATCACTAGGGATGTCCTGGGAGGAAATCCTGCAAAAGTTTATTAAAAAGATGAATGTCTTGAAACATCTTTTCTGGAACTTTAACTCATTAAGTACACAATGAAAATGAAAAATCGTAAAGGAGAGAATGAAAGCAAACCATTCAGTAGTTCTCTTCATGGCATTACTCATGAGCTCTTTTTTCTTAGCATGCATCATGTCAGGGGGTGTGGGCATTGGAGCTCCGTTTTCTTGAACATCCACCGTGCATGACAATGATTGAACATTCTTGATTTAATTAAACATGATCCACACTGCAATATATAGAAAAATAAATTAAGTGATCCACAGAAAAATGAAATTTTTTTACCATGGCCCTACAATTATATTCTTGATACACAAGCAGTCAGGAAATACCGAAAATGGGTATAGGAATTTAGCTCGAAAGGATCAAGACATGGGGATAAAACAGTCTTTCCGTAGATATAGAGGGGACTCTAGAGTGAATTAGAAGGTAATTAATCTGAGGGAAAAGACAGTCGTTTTGTCAATGTGTGGTGATGGGGTGCAAATGGGTCGATAATAATTGGCCAAAGATTGGATGCTTTCCTCTACTGGTAATTGTAACATTTCATTGAATACGTTGTTAGGCTGTGAGTTTTTTCCAAATTGAGATGAACAACTCACTGCGACACTGCTGAACAGTTGTAATTAAATCCAATCCTTACAAGTTACAAACATCCGTACAAATTACGTAGCCAAGACTCATCTTCTCAAAGATAATATTGTTAAAATTTATGATTGAATAGTAGTATTAATTTAACCAAATGATCAGTCGATATCGTGATGTAAAACATGCTCATGTGACATTAAAGATGCCTGCATGCATGATGAAGATGGGCTCCTTCGCAGGTACGTATAGTTCACATCACATATTTCAAAGGATCGCTTCCTAATGTTGACTGATCATGCATATTTAATTACTTATAAATATAAATAAATAAATAAATTTATATATTTAATATTTAAAATAATAAATTATGGTTCTCATAATTGCTTGTGTGCCGACAATGATTCGTAAATAACACAGAAAAGTAAATGTAAAAATTTTCATAACAGATTTTAATTGCTTACATACCAAAACATGATAAACTATTAATATGTAACGATTTTATTCACAAATTAATCTTAGCCAATATTATTTTTATTTAAAATGTGATGTTTTACCTAAATAACATTTAAATTATTCATTTCGCAAAACAATTATAATCAATTATCGATGGCCCATTCTTGTAACTCATGAGAAGCCCCTGAAAGGTCACAATCAATGTAAAACAACATCTTCCAAACTCAATTGGAGACACGTATGGATGTGTGATGTTTAAGTTAATATTGTTTTGATCATTCTTTTGTCTCAATTAATTATTTAAAAACTGTTTTATAGATTATGAAACAACATTTTGTGCCTACTTTTTTGAAGAAAAAAAAAACCCTAAAAACTATATTTTAAGAAAAGAAGTTTTGATATACTTGTACTAGACCATCTACAATCCAATTTTATTTTTAACAACAAAATAGTTTAAATGAATGATGCAAACAATGCTTTTTTACAACTCCACAATTTTTTTAAATCAAAACAATGTATTCTTTGATATTTTTTCTTTTTATATAACTTTATAGATTGTCAAAAAAAAAAAAAAAACTCCATTCAACTTATTATTTTCTTAACGTGTGTGTGTATATATATATATATATATATATATATATATATATATATATATATATATATATATATATAGAGTTAAGATCAAATAAGAAGGAAATTTTTGGTAGGAAGATAAGAAGTTTTTTTTCTATATTTTTTTTCACGAACAAACAAAATGAATCATTAGATGATTCATTTGTAAGATGATTCACAAGAAAAAATTCTCAAAAAACATCTCAATGATTCATTTATACAATGATTTTGTTGTTATTCACTAAAATTGTCATAAAAGTGAATTTTTTCTTAATTTACTTAAAAATGAATAATAAAGATGTTTTTTTGGGAATTTTTTCTTGTGAATCATCTTACAAATGAATCATCTAGTCATTTATTTTGTTCGTCAAAAAAATATAGAAAAAACTTCTTACCTTCCTACCAAAAATTTCCTTCTTACCGGATCTATATATATATATATATATATATATATATATATATATATATATATATATATATATATAATATATATATATATATATATATATATATATATATATATATATATATATATATTTGTTGTTGTAAAAACTTTGTAAAATATATATTACAAAATTATAACACTCATCCCTTTTCATAATAAAAATATTATGCTTTTGAAAATATTTTATAATTTTAATCAAAGTTATCAAAACATGATCCAACAAAAACCAAAACTGTTTACTTTTTGTTTCAAAACATATCTACTTATGTACTACTGATAACACACAAAACCATAGTAAAGCAGTGAATTTACATACATTACAGAAACCATATCGAGCTTCTATACTCCAAAAGTTCATTGTTATCAATACAATCACAATCTTCTGGTTCTTTGTATTTGAACCTGGAATACATGACATTTAAACAAAGCATTCATAAGACGATAGTGACTCGTGAACTATATGAGTTTAGACAGAAAATCATTATCAAACATTTAATAAAGCCTTTAATTTCCACATGTTTTGTATGATTTAACAAATTGCATACCTATACATAATATTAAACCTTACGGGCCTTCTTGTAACGTATAGTCAAGTTCGCATAAACTTCTTCCGAGATATACTATACTGATCAAATCATTATCACCACTTAATAAAACTATTTCATGTCATCATACTTCACACAATGTAACTTGTATGTCGTTCATGATTACTATTGAAATAAACCTTACGAGCCTTCTAGTATCACGCTAACGTATTGCCATATGTTCCTTCGGTCACATACTGATCCAAACCTTAGGGTTTAATCCTAGAAATAACACCTTATCAACCTTTACCCAAATAGAAAGAAAAAATTAGCCCATTAAGGTATCCCTCTACATCTATCTCATGAAGGGATATATGATCCTGGTAGAGACGTCCCTTATCTCGTTCTTGGGATATCGTAATTGTTTGGATACTACTTTATGCAATTACATTCAATGTATCCATGATCACCACATTTCTTTTGGAGATTCAATCAAATACATATGTCATGTTCTATCAATAACATCATAATACTTTGCACAATATAACAATTTATCATGACAAAACAATATCAAATTTATAACCTGTAACGTCTGGTTCCTGGTACGCATTAATTATTAAATCACTCATTTTTACAAAGCAAGTCGACGAGTTGGTAGCCCCAACAGACTGAAGAACTCATCGAGTCCATAGAGGAACTCGACGAGTTGAATCGTGTTGTCCCGATCCTGTACCGGATAAAACTCGATGAGTCAGGGGGATGACTCGGCGAGTTGGATCGTGAATCCAGGAATTTTGAGTTATAGAACTCGACGAGTTGATAGGTCAACTCGGCGAGTTGATAGGTCAACTCGGCGAGTTGAGTCAGCCAGAATGTTGATTTTGACCAGGGGTAAAACGGTCATTTTACCCTTAAAAGGTTTATCAGGTTTTGACTAAGTGATTATTGTGATAATGATAGTTGGGGAGTCGTTGGAGAAGCCATCACAGATTCCTCACACGAGATTTCAACAACCAGCTTGAGAAGTGAGTTTTCCTCCAGAAGGTACGGGTCTAAGGCACCAACGCCGGCCCGTTTATGTATGTTAGTGTGTTCCGGATTAAGATCTGATGTCGGGCGGGGCCCGATGTAGGTTTATATGTTTTTCCGGATTTCGATCCGATGTCAGGACGGTACCCGAAGGATGTTAGTATGCTCGATGTCTTTGTGATTCTTTCATGTGTATGTGATTGCATGTCTTCGGACTACGGTCCGATGTCAGGGCGGTTCCCGAGGAATGTTTGTATGTTTCTGGATTTCGGTCCGATATCGGGCGGGGCCCGAGGAATGTCTATATGTCTATAGTTAAGTGCTCTTTCTTATATTATGTGTATTAGTAGTTATGCTCATATGTATGTCGAGCTTGGCTCGATACCGGGCGGGCCCCGATGCCATATGTGGTCTGATGTCGGGCGAGGCCCGATGTCGGACAAGCCGATGTCGGGCATTGCCCGATGTAGCAAGGCGGGGCCCAATGAATGCGATTATGTGATTATGTGTATGGTATGTGGTAGTTTGGGAAACTCACTAAGCTTCGTGCTTACAGTTTTCAATTTTGGTTTCAGGTACTTCCACTGGTAAGGGGAAGAGCTCGGGATGACTGCATGGCACACACCACAGCTTTTAGCCTGAGAGGATTTACTCTGATGTTTTGACATTTGATTTTGACACATTGACAGTTGTTATAATATTTTTGAGATACACGATTTATAACTTTTATTATGATCGATGATACTTATGGTTTTATTAATGAATTAAATCGAAATTTTCGGGTTGTATTGGGATGTTTCAAGTTGGTATCAGAGCCTTGGTTTGAGGGATTCAGGTACACTCTCGGGTTTGTCTGAACTCAAACTGAGGACTTGGTATGAAAATTTTCAAAAGAAAAATCATTTGTATAAAAAGAACTTTGAGAAAAAGAAAAGAATTTTGAAAAGAGAAAAGAACTTTGAAAAAAGAGAAAAGGGTGTGGTGCATGCAATCAGTCGAGCTCAAGTAAGTACTCCCAAATTACCCATACAAGTTTATGTTATGATATGATTATGAGAACAGCATGCTAGATTAGGGCTAAGGATCTAGGAAGGATGCCTTGTATGCCTCTTATATGTATATGATAACTGCATGCTAGTTTAAGGCGAAGGATCTAGGAAGGATGCCTTATATGCCTGTTGTATGAGCTTATTGAACTGTATGCCAGTAATGATTAGTCAGTAATATGATAGCCTGAGTAGGATATGCTTGATTATGTGTACTCAATGCTCGAATGTTGCTTGCTTTGTGATTTTAGGAGTTCTAGTTATCTTTAACTAACTAGTTTGAGTCTAACTGCGAGGATTAAATAATTTCAGAAGGTTAGGTTTAGCTCTCGTTTGAGTCTAACTGTTGTAGGGTAGGAGCTCACATTCGAAGAATTATCTAGTCTTAGTGATATGTAATGGTATTTGCGAGCTAGTTAGGGGGAGATAGAAGGGACTTCTTATGCAGCTGATGGCGGAGAGTGGGTTGGTGATTACCCTAGGGCAAGCCTAGGATGAGATTA